CAGTGACAAGAATGCAAGAAATCCACATTATCTCACTTTACATAAGGGATTCAGGCAATTGTAAATATATTTAGAATGAAATATTTGTTTCTTAATTTTTTCCAAACTGATTATGAAATTCCTTATTTTTAAAAGCTTCAATTCTGCATGTAAAACTGTCCATAATATTTTAAACAACAGGATCATATCATGTAATACAATCACAAATAATAATTTGGAATCATAATTTTATAATTTTCTGTATTGACATATATTTATAAAATACATATTTAATTTATACACGCTTGTTACAATTATGAAATATTTTAGAGTGTTAATTGTCTCTTGGTGCTTTGCAGCCAGTCCTGAAGCTACCTGATAAAACAGGATCAGATGAATGGGGAGGAGGTCCCCCCTATCAGTGGACTTGGCAAGGGGCACGGTGGAGAGGATGGAGGGAGGGAGGGACTGGGAGGGAATGAGGGATCAGGACACGGCTGGGGTACAGAGTTATAAAATGTAACTGATAAGAAAAAAATAAAATACAAAAAAAATGTTTAAAAAAAATTGTCTCTTGGTTAGCAGAAATACTCCTCAGCTTTGAAATACCCTATGAGAATGAGTGTAATACTTGACACTTGAATTGTGAGGGTGGAGGTTTGCTTTGCTGCTAACTTTGTTAATGTGCAATAAGATTTAAGAAGCTATTGTAATTTTTTTCTTTTGTTTTCTTTTGGCTTAAATGTTGTCACTTTTGGAAAAAAGTTAAATGAGGTACTTTGTGCCAAGAATAATATGTACTTTGTGGCCATTCAAAATGAAATATTCTACAGATGTCCCTTAAGCCATTTGGTCTATGTGAAGTTTATCTCTAAGGCTTCATGGCTAACTTTTTGTGTGGATTATATACCTATTTGCCAGAATAAGAGTGATGTCACCCACTATTACACTCCTTATTACATCTGGGTGAGTCTGTTTCTGTCTAGTGTAGTTTTCTTTACAAACTATCACTGGTACATATATATTTACATATGCTCTATGTTTTTGCTGTACTGTTGTCCATGTACCTTTGTGCCTTCTGGTTGGTTGTGCTTGAAATCTGCTTTTCAGATAATGAGCACAGCTATTTCTGCTTGCTCTTGAGTGCCAACTTCTTAGAATGATATATTTCATCCTTTCACTTTCAGTATGTATATACCTTTTTCAGTAAGGTGAGTGTCTTGAAGACAGCATACTGCTGAGTATGTGGTTTTAGGGTGAGCCACAGTCTTTTATTGATGACCTAAGACCGTTTACACTTGGGATTGTTGTGAAGGTATGCCATTTTATTCTTTCTGATTATTTCCATTCCTTTTGTTCTTCATCCTTTGCTTATCTTAAAAGCTGACTGGTTTGCTGAGATAATGCCTTTATTGTTGAATAATTTGTCTGTTCTTTCTAGAAATCTCAGGATTCTCGAATAACAATAATTCCTCACCTGTGTGAAATATTCCTTTAGAATCTCTGGGGTGCAGTTCATGGTCTGGAAGATCAGGCTGAATCAAGACAGTAGCTGTACCACTTCCAAGCCCAGCCTCCTGCATCTCAGCCTGCTTTCCTCAATTGCTTATGGGCAAAAGAATTTCAACTTCAGATTTTCCTCCCCAGAAACTCAATCTATGGCACTGTGTTATTTTTTTTAATCCTAAAACAACTATTGAAATATTTATCATACTAGACCCTATAACAAATCACCCTAAATCAGTTACTTTTCTTTTACTGTGATAAAATGCTGAGGCAAAAAGAAAGTTATGAAAGACTTTATTTTGGCTTAATGTTCCAGAAGGATAAGAGTCCATCTTGGTGGGAGACAGACAGGACAGTGATGGCAGGCATGGCAGCTGGAGCAGAAAGTGGAGAGATCACATCTACAACCAAGAGCTTGAAGCAGAGAGAGTCAGCTGGAAGTGGGGTGAGGCTGTAACTCTCAAGGCCCATCCCCAAGGACTAGCTTCACCAGCAAGGCCCCATCCCAGTGTGTTCCCACAGACAGTGCTACCACCTGGGCACCAGGTCTTGAGAACATGAGGACCATTCTCACTAAACCACCATGGACCTCTTAGTAACATAGGCCATAATCAGATTGGAAAGCTACCCTGGATTCTTGCCAAAATGCCACAAACCCAGAGGTTACACAATACAAAGCTGAGCACAGTTTTAAATATTTTTACTCTATGTCAATCTTTCACTCTTCCTCAATGCCTTTTCAATATTTTTGAAAATGCCACACAGATACACAATGAAATATCATAACTACCCCCAGTTCTCCACTTAAATATACATATATATTTATAATATATAGTATATATATTTTGTGTATGTTATATAATCATACATAAATATTATATAACATTTATATATTAATGAAAATAAACACAGAAAAGCAGTAAATGAGACAGTTAACTGAGCAAAGAGACAAACTACAAATATATAACATAATCATATATATGATTATATATTATATTCTATATTTATATTATAACATATATCATTTATATTATATTATATTATATTATATTATATTATATTATATTATATTATATTATATTAT